AGTTAAGGTATACCCTGTTCTGGCCCGTTCTATTTCACCATGTTAGAGACCGAATTAGGCTTATCCTAAAACATGAAAGTTGCAGATAATGATGTTTTATAGTTGACTGCAAAATTTCAGCTCAATCGGAGCAATGTAGCCTATAAAAAAACAAAAATACCCCTGAGACTGCCCTAGGTAGAGTCCAGCAGACAGTTTTGACATTGTCTCATGTTGGCTGCATTTTTTCACCTTGATCCATATCAAACCAGTCTTTGGTCAAAACATGAACATTTAGCCCTATGTTTCAGCTTCCAACGCCCCTGACAACACCTCAATCGAACTTCGGTAGCATGAGTTGTTGTTGTTTTAACCATAGTGCAGTTAGCTAACCTGTTTGTGAGATTCTGGTTTTGTACATTGAAATTTTGACCTAGCTACACTATGAACTGGACTGAGTGATCTTCATCAAAGTTGTAGGCCTTTGTCAGCTTCGAAACTGTATCAATTGTACACTAATCCGATAAGTGTAGCCTCAGTTATGTCCGTTGCGCAAAACAACGTCAAATCTGTCTTTTGTTTCTTGACTCAAATTTCATTTCCGCAAATGTTTCTAGCTGGGGTTGGTACTTGTATGACGCTTGAGGCCTATTGAAGGGCTATTGAAATGAGATTATTTTGTGTGTAACTTTGGGACTGATTGAGGAATGAACGAAGCCATAAATGGCTAGAACATAGGTAAAAATAAAGGGCGTGCTGCCCAAATTTATGCCGAGGACTAGAGAAATAGACTTGCGACTTGAGTAAGACTTGATAGCGAATACCACTTGAACCATCTAGGATATTCGCGTCTTCTTTTATCGAGAAAATAAGTTAGAACTTGGCCGAACTTGTACCCTTGAGAAATGAAATAACGACTACTAGAAAGATGTTTTCCTCGTTCTTTCAACTCAAATGGTATTTCCAAGTATAATTGTTACAAAATGTTCCAGTTTGAAAAGCGAGCAACTGTTTCACGAATATTCTCCAAACTAATTTCAATTACTTGATTCTTATTGAACGAAACGTGTAAGTTTCGAACCTTAGTTGTTTTTCAAAGTTCTTAAACAAAGTTTTATCGCAGATTTGGACTCCAAACTCGGAGTACAACGCAGACGGGATCACTGAAGCACTATATTTTGGTGAGTGCTTCCAAATATCTAATTGGACTTGACATTTGTGTTCTATATTTGACCAATGTGATTATATGATGTATATACAAGTGAATTGATGGGACAAGAGTGTACTTTATCGCACTTGCCCTAATGTGATTTGTTCTCATTCATCGATTGGAATTGAATTGCTATACATGCTTGTGAATTGCATCTTGCCTGGAATTCCAGAAAACCCTGTGGCTAGTTTGTCGAGTCGAGTCGGCAAGGGTCTGGTCGATTAGATAACGAACCCTGAGTAGTTAGTGATGTTGAGTGGAGTGTTATCTCCTCGGCTAATCAGAATACTCGAGTATTGCCACCAGTGTTTATTGTGGAGTTCGGGCCCGGTAAGGGATTTGATCGGTGGATGGAGATTGGCGTTAATTGGTGTTCTACTGGACTAGTCTCTTACTTGAAAGTTGATGGAAAATCAACTACCAATTGATCAAGCTATGGTGTAGCCGATATATGAGCAACTGTATCCTTATATGTGAAATGCGAAAAAATTACATGTTTGGCTATATGAAGTTTTGTTACTCATTTCTTGACTTGTTTTGCTCGCTATTTCGCCATTATGCCAATATTACTTTATTTGATGAACAATTTGATATTTGGAACCTTACTGAGTTTTAGCTCACTCCTTTAGTTTATTTTCCTTGTAAGGGTATGAGCGAGGCGTGAGACGTGTACAAACTAGATTAGACTAGTTGTTTTTGATTTTTGATTTGTACTCGTGCTATCACTCGCTTAGGATACTTTGTACTTGGATTGTATGCACTTAGAAGTACTTTGGATGTATAGAAGTTTTGTATCTGGATTTGTGTATCGATGTATGTTATAAGTTTGAATTGCGATGTTATTTCTTGTCTATGGATGTATGCGTAAGATACGAGTGAGTGAATCCTACCAAGAGTTGGGCAGGCGGTCCGTCGAACTCTTTGGTATGCCTTGGGGGGAGGTGGAGTCGTCATATTTCTTGCCTTAAAAACCAAACAAAACAAACTCAAGAAAAATGGAGAGAGAGGGCTGTGAGTTAGGGAAAGAAAAGGGAGAAATGCTTCACTAAATTTTAGCTTCAATCTTGCTTGAATTTTGAGGGAAAAGGAAGGAGATAACTTGGGAGTTTCATCCATCTTAGCTTAAATTTGGAGAGGAGAAGATTTGGAGGTTGGAAAACAAAAGAGGTAAAATACTAGATTAACCTTCTTTCTATGTCTTATGTTGAAAATAAGATTGATTTTTGGCTAAAACATGATTTGGTGGCGAATCTTGGTAGTTTCCAAGTTGATTATGCTTATCTTTCATACTTGAATTCTAGAGTATGATTATGTCGATGATTATGGTGGTTTCTTGTTGTGATTATGGCTACATATGTGTCTATGGTTATGTTGGAGATGAAACTTTATGGATTTGCTAAGCATGGTTAGTTAAGCTTGGGACAATTAGTTGGAGGAAAGTTGGAAAATTTGGAAGTAAAATTTCTGGTTACTAACTGAATGGAAGGGTTGAAGTTGCAACCTTGATTTCGAAATTTTTATCATGATTCTAGACTTGATTTTGCTCAAAATACTTTATACTACTTTAGCCAACAAGTGTGTGTTGAAATTTGATTAAAATCATGCATTTTAAGTGGCTTAAACCTCACCTTTTGACCAAAAACCATGGCTGGAAATTTTTCACAGGAGATTCTGAGCAGTCTTGGGAAATCTGTCATATCTTGGTATAAAAAAAATCCAAATTGAGTTCTACTTGTTGCATTTGAAACCAAATTCGGAGTACTTTCTACCATAAAAATTTTAAAATTTTTCTCAATTCCTATGAATATCTATGATTTTTCAAAGTTAACTGAATTTTCATACCTGCTCTGTCTTTCTTCTAGATAAAGCAACAACTTGAGATTGGATTTTGACTGACTTGTGGAGAGAATCTTACAAAGGTGTCTGCTGAGAAATTGTAACCCTAGTTTATTTTTGAATGGTGTAAAGTTTATAAATTTTAGACTTAAGAAACTTGGGATATGATTTTTCAAATAGCGTCATGCAAAACTAGAAGAATTTGTTTTCCTAAAATTGTCCTTACTTTCATTTCCAACTTCAAGTTGGAGTTGTTGAACCATTTTGAACTTGATTTTCTTTTGAATAATGTGACTTGGCGTAGTGGATTTCATGGCACTTTATAAATGTGATTTTAGGATGGGGAAGTGAGGTTGGTGGTGCACTCGAGGCGAACACTTGAACTTGTTGCCGTGGTGAGTGTTCTAAGTGCATGTAAAGTGCTTACGTGCAATGTCTCTTACTTGAATGACATGTTCGTTGGCTTGAAATACTTGTTCTTGTTACTCTTGAACTGTTTGACATTGATATGAGATGAATTGCTTTGCTTGTACTTGATTTGTTAGTCGATTGGATGGTTATTCCATCGATTTTCTTGCGTGCTTGAGGCCCCAAATCCCATTGGCTAGTTGGTCGGGTCGAGTCGGCAAAGGCTTGATTGACACGATTGACGAACCATGGGTCTTGTCATTTGTCACATGAATTTGAACTTGTGCTTGAACTCTTGAACTTAAACTGGTATGCTCGAGTATTACCCTTCTTAAATTTGATGTGCGGGCCCGGTAGGGGGTTGAATGGTGGTTGGAGAATGACGTGAAGTGGTGAATTATTTGTTAGTATTTTGAAAAAAATGTTGACCGAGTGTCAAAAGAATTTTGATCAAGTTGCTTGAATATGCTCTTGAGAGCCCCGTATCCTTTTATATGACAATGTAAATTTTTAATTGTTAGGTACCCGACGTGAACTTGCATTATGGTTGTGAACTATGGTTATGTGGCGTGAATCTGATATTATTGTTACATGACTTTCTTATAATCTCACGGGGCGAAAGCTCACGTTTAGATTTGTTTTTCTTACAAGAAACGAGCACCTAGGCGAGTGAATAAGAAGGGCCATGTCTTGTCGGAATCTTTTGCTGTAGCTTAGTTGCACCAACTTTTAGGGGCTGCTTGGTTAAAAGGTTTGGGAATCAAATAATGGAATGAACCCCTTATTTGTTGCTTGGGTTAAGTCTATTGGAATGCAATTTCTGGAATCATTTCTAAAAAATCGGACTTTCACCATTCCTGAGTAAATTGGGAGGTTTTGGACAAAACCCTCAACTCATTCCCGAGCAAAAACATTTATGACGAACCTACCCTCTTTTTTTCTTCATTACACGCCGCACCTTCTGTTCTTCTTCTTCATCAGATTTTCTACCTCTTCTACTTCACCGGTTGGACAACCATAAAGATCAGTGGCTTTCGACTCTCCTTGGACAACGAATTCTAGAGTTGAAGAGTCTTCTACTAGGGTGAATTCCTTGATCCCAGGTCAGTGGATTACAAACTCCCTTGCCTCTGCAATTTTCTTTTCGTATGCAAGCTTTTCTCTTTCTTCTTCTCTGTTTTTTCAGGCTACTCACTGGGTAGCTGAAAATAAAGAAGAAAAGAAGGGAATCTGATACAATAACACTAACTGGACCAAAATGCTATGCTCTGGACCCATCACCTTCTCACTTTTATTCCACTCACGCTACACAATCTGTCAGTTTTGCAAAAAAGTCTTCCTTCCATGAATTCATATTCTTTTGTCACAAAATCCAATAAGAAATTATTTCCGCAACAAATACACTATTATTGGTGAGAATAATACATGTTTTTAATCCATGTATTTTGTTGTAATACATGTATTTTAATTCACTTACTTCAACAAATACATTATTTTGTTCTTTTTTTTGGTGAGATAAATGTTAATGTCACTAGATTTGTCATTTTTATGTTTTTAATGTGTTTTCTTGGATTACGCATTCAATGGAGGTCAATCAATTCTTGATCTTTTGGTTATTTGATCCGTGAATACTGGTATAGTTTGGGTGGGTTTCTACATGCCCTGTACCTGTTTGTAAAATTGTCTGCTTGAATAGCTTTCAGTTTCATAGTTATTCGTACATTAGGATTTCAAGTTTCAACCATCAATTTCGTTTGTTTATGCTTATTTATATCTATACATCATTGTGTTTACGGATGTATGATGCATGTCTAGGCCCTTTTAATAAGATCAATTGATGTTTAATGCATTTGAAGATTTTGATGCCGTAATCTAGTTTGGTGAATACTTACGTTTGGTTGTCATATTGTTATGTAGACAAAGATGCCACGTTTGCCTATTGAAAACAGAAGACGCAAAAAATATCGAGGGCAAAGCCAGATTTTATCAGGAATGATAATGGTTGTTATTGCACTGTTTATGATGTGGTACCAGTTAATATTCATTCATCTCAAAAGTAGAAGACGCCAAATAAAATCAAAAGAAGAAAAAGTCACTGAGCGCATGCAACACTTATTCAATTTGACTAGGGAGAGTGATGCTTATTGTATTAGCGAACTTCGTATGGATAGACGAACATTTGGGATATTATGTGAAATGATTAGAGACACTGGAGGTTTGAAAGCTACAAGAAACATGTCAATAGAAGAAATTGTTGCCATGTTTGTATATGTTTTGGCTCACCACAAGAAAAGTAGAACAATTTGTGGTCTATTTTGGAGAAGTAGAGAAACGGTGAGTCGTCAATTTAATCTTTGCCTCCTAGCAGTTTTGAAATTGCATACTATATTACTTAAGAAGCCTGAGCCTATTACCGAAGATTGCACAGATGAGAGATGGAAATGTTTTAAGGTAATTCAAACATTAAAATACAATCATTTAATAAAATGTATGTTTTCATCTAAACTATCCAATATAGACATTTTAACTCATTTATATTTTTTATTTTTGTTAAAATAGAATTGTTTAGGTGCCTTAGATGGGACATTAATAGATGTGACACCACCCACCGAACAAAAATCAAGATACCGAACGAGAAAAGGAAGTATTGCAACGAATGTATTAGGGGTTTGTTCTCCTAATATGCAATTTATCTATGTCTTGCCTGGTTGGGAAGGTTCGGCACATGATGGTCGTGTGCTTCGAAATGCTATCTCTAGACCAAATGGTCTTAGAGTCCCACAAGGTAAACATATATTGCAGTATTCAATACCATTCAATCAATTTTTTTTCGAAAATAAGGTAGTCTAGTATTAATTTGTACATGATTGAATTTTGAAGGTTGTTATTACTTGGTGGATGCTGGATATTGTAATGCTGATGGATTTCTTGCCCCTTATCGAGGGCAAAGATATCACCTTAATGAATTCAATGGTTATCGACCACAAAGACCAGAGGAATATTTCAACATGAAACATTCTAAAGCTAGAAATATCATAGAAAGATGTTTTGGATTGCTAAAAGGAAGGTGGAAGATTCTAGCATCCCCTTCATTTTTTCCAATTCAAACACAAGTGCGAATAATTATGGCATGTTGTCTGCTGCACAACTTGATAAGGAAGTTCATGACTTTTGATCCACAAGAATTACTACAAAGTGAAGAAAATGAAAGTGAAGATGAAGACAGTGATGAAGAAGTAGAGTACATATCCACTATTTTGCCAAGTGATCAATGGGCAAATTTTAGAAATAATTTAGCACATGAAATGTTTGACAATTGGAGGGCTGGACTTAGTATTTAGCTATGAATGGATGTTTAGCTCTTAGACTCATTAAATTTGGATTGACATTTGATGTACTCTTGTAGTGGATTTGTGAATTAGATTGACACTTGATGTATGTTCTTTTAAATTTGGATTGACTTTTAATTGTATGTTCTTTTATGTGTTTTGTTATATTATAAATTTCAGTTATATGCTATTGTGTATCAAAATTAATTGATATATATGGGTTGACTTCTAAATGATAGGATGGAGAATGATGAAATTGTACGTGGAAGAGGGAAAAATAAATGTTTTTGGACTGGTGAAGAGGTAAAAGTGCTCATAGAATCATTGCAAGAGTTGGCTTGTGATCCAATGTGGAAATCAGATGGAGGATTTAAAAATAATTATATGAGCGAATTGCTTAAAATTATCTTGCGTAAGCAACCTACTTTTACCAAACAAGTCAGCCCACATATTGAATCAAAAGTTAAGTGGCTGAAAAATAGGTTCCATGCAATTGTTGAAATGTGCAAAGAAAGTGGTTGTAGTTGGAATGATGCTGAGAAAAAGATTTCTTGTGAAAAACAGTGGTATGATGATTGGTGCAAGGTAAGAAATTGATTACTTTTTACATTCTGATATGTTCTTTTTCAACCTTTTATTAAGATTATCATTTATCTTTCTATTCTATCTCTAGACTCATAAGGATGCGAAGGGCCTTTGGGATGTCAAATTTCCATATTTAGGAGATCTTGAAATTGTATATGGAAGAGACAGAGCCACTGGAAATGTTGCTGAAGATTTTGCACAAGCTGTCCAAGATATGGAAGATGTCCAAAATTTGGAGGAAGGAGATGAAGGGCTTGATGCTATGTCAAACTCGGATAATGATAAGGTAGAAGAAGATGAAGTAAATTCCATGGAGCAATCAACTCAACCAAGCTCAACAAGCACAAGAAATTCCAAGAAACAAAAGAAACAATCCCCTCCCATTGCAAATGTGTCAAAAAAAATGAAATCTGCATCAACAACAAGGGGTGATCTTGATGCATCATTGCAACTTCTCACCAGCAAATTTGGAGATTTCGTGGAGGGAATTCAAGCTAATTTCACAACTATGGCAGCAGCCATGTCAAATGAGGATAAACGTGAGCAATTGGTCTCCGATAGAAGAGATCAAGTTGTTGCTGAGTTAATGAAACTTGCTTTACCGAGTGGAGATGTAATGAATGCAGCCGACATACTTTCGGAGCAGATTTCCAAGCTTCATGTGTTCTACAATCTTCCTGCAGAAATGAAACGACAATATGTAATTAACCTCCTTTATCCTCCATCTACTCGCTGAAGTAAAATTATTGTTAGCTGGAAAGTGATGATTTGATGGCAATTTCTTTTTGTTATGGTGATTGTTAGATGGTTATATGATTAGTCTTTTGGAGATTGTGGACATTGAGTGGCACTCTCGACTGGATTAGACAATTGATTTGTATTTGGTATGGTTAGCTTTTGTGATTTGAGTCTCCTTCTTTTGTTCATATATGTAAGGAGAGATCTATTTCATATCATTATCTAATGTAGGAACCACAAACGACTTGTTAATGGAGTAAATTTCCAAAAAGAAAGAGTTTTTAAACTAACTTCCTAAAGGCTGGCAATTTTTGAGTCTCTTCCCAAAGGTGAAAAACACATTCAAGAAATGCGTTCTTCCAAATAAAAATGCAACTTTCAAATACGTTATTTTAATTTTCGTAAATTTGTTTAAATATAAAAAATTGGTTAAATAGCGTATTAAATACAAAACCTGCTAATTTCCCATAAAGAGCTGGTATCTTATGAGTAATTTCTTTTTTTTTTTTAACTTTCACATATTTAATTTATGTTAAATACAAAACATACTAGTTTTCCTTTGGGCCTATTTAATCAATTTTTTCCATAAAGAGTTGGTATGTTTTCCATAAAGAGTTGGTACAAAACATACTACAAAACTGCCAGTTTCCCTTAAAGAGCTGGTATCTTATGGGCAATTTTTTTTTTTTAACTTTCACATATTTAATTTATGTTAAATACAAAACATACTAGTTTTCCTTTGGGCACTATTTAATCAATTTTTTCCATAAAGCTGGTACAAAACCTGCCAGTTTCTCATAAAGAGCTGGTATCTTATGGGCTATTTAACCAATTTTTCATATTTAAACAAATTTCCAAAACATAAAATAACGTATTTGAAAGTTGCGTTTTTATTTGGAAGAACACATTCCTTGGATGCATTTTTCACCCTTTGGGAAGAGACTCAAAAATCGTCACCTTTTGGGTGATTGTTTAAAAACTCCTTTTTTTGGGAATTTACTCCTTGTTAATGCAGCCACTATATTTATTTTCTGGTATTAATTTTTTTATTATTTATGATTTTCTTATGTTTTATCAAAAAGTTAATAACTATTGTAGTTACAATTATGAAAATGTTAATTTGTCGTATGTGTAATTCTTTTGTTTTAGAAGAATTGTTATATCAGGGGTAAATTTGGAATTTAATTGCATTTAATTCCGAAACACTCATCAAACCAAGCATCAGGAATTGGAATAATGCTAATTCCAATGTGTGAACCAAGCAAGATATTGGAATGAAAAGTTTTAATTCCAAAACCAGAGTCTATGATTCCAATTACAATTCCAATTCCAATTCCTAAGCTTGAACCAAGCGCCCCCTTAGTTTTGTTTTTGTAAGTTGGGAACTCAACTTTTGTAAATTGAGCTAGTAGCATATTTTAAGATCGTATCGATCACAATCTGCTGTATACAGTCAGGGATCTTTTGTGTAGACCATGTAAATATGATTTTTATTTTGAAAGGACTTGTTATTCAGCTAGTGCTTGAGTCCTGACGAGAGTTGGGCAGGTGGCCCGCCGAACCCTTTGGTTCGCCTTAGGGAGAGGTGTAGTCGTCACAGTTGGTATCAGAATTTAGGTTAGAAATGGGTTGGGTGAAATAGAAATTTGATTCTAAGGAACTTAGTGTGACGTGTTAGGGTGTCATTGAGTACAATTAACCTCGCCTAAGTTATAAACCGTGTTTATTTTTGTAGGTCATGAAAGGAAGCAGTGGAGAGGGTGGAGGTGCACCGTCTTGAAGGCGCTTTCGAGTCATTGATTTTGAAGAGAGGCCAGGAGGACCGATCCAGCATTGGAGTACCGCTAGTTGGACTAAACGATGTAGTCGTTGCCAGAGTTACTCCTATGCCGACCATGTGGTCTTGACAGTACTAGATGAAAGGAGAAGGCCTAGGCTTGGCCATGATAGGGACCAAACTGAGATGGTGAGGATGAGAGACATCATGAGGATGCAGACCAACAGGATTCAGGAGCTCTAAGAGGACATATCGATGGAGCAGGAGATGATGAATGCTCTTAGAGAGCAGCTACAGGTGGTTAATGACCGCCTCATTAGGGTGGTCCACAAGGTTAGAGATCAATCTGGAGGTATCATTGACAAGTGTGAAGCACTAATCCAAGGAGTGATTGGCGCTAACGCACTTGTGGAGGTTCAGGGCGATGGAGCCTCTAGAGAGGGAGATGCACCTAACTCTACCTACGAGAGAAAGTTCGTTAGTTTGGTTGGGAACTAGGTTAGAGCCCCTATGAACCTGGTTTTGATCCCATATGAGGAGTAGTTAAAAAAACTCCTAGTTGGATGTTTTTGTACTTTTGGCATAGTTTTTGTACATTATGCTTTTGTTATGACCCTGCTACTATTAAAGGGGATTGCTTTTGCTTGTATCCGACTGCTACTGTGTGACATGTATGATAAAGTTGTGTTAAATATACCTGATCTTTTGACTTATTTATATTCTTCCTTTTACTCATGTATCTATGAAATTTTAACCTTTGCATTTACATTTCAACCCTAGACTTGTTAATAACCGATGGAGTGTAAGTATAGTAGACGGGAGGAGGCCATGGGCATGGACCCAAGCAATCCCAAGAACAAGAGAGTGACCGAGAACCTGTAGGTAGTCAAAATTAGGGACCAGGGGCTGAAGCGGGAGACCAAGTGGTTATAGCCATTAATTGTATGACAGACTTGCTGGCTTAGTTGGTGGATCGTCAGGGCCAAAATCCTCTTAATCAACCTAGAAACCCTGAAAATCCTGCAGAAGGGAAGATAGAGCTTTGAAATGATTTCAAAAATTATCTCCCCCTAAATTCTTGGGTGGACCCTTGGCTTGCTAAGATGATCGATATTTTCACGGTTTTAAACTATCCGGAAGAGAGACAAGTAAACTTTGCCACCTTTTAGTTTGAGGGAGCTGCTTGAACTTGGTGAAATTTTATACGAGTTAGGTAAGAAAGGGAACAAACTCCTAGGATTTGGGTAAACTTTACTCAAAAATTTAATATAAATTTCTCCCACTCTTGATCCAGGAGAAAAGAGAGGATGAATTTATAAAACTCCGTCAAGGATCTCAAAATGTAGCCGAGTATGAGACCCAATTTACTAAGTTGTCGAAATTTGCTCCTGAACTAGTAGTGACGGAATAGAGGAGAATAAGGCGTTTTGTGCAAGGCGTTAATGTGGAAATTCAAGAGGCCTTAGTAGCCACTCAAATAACCACCTTTATGGAAACACTTGAGAAAACTCAGCGGGTTGAGCTTGCAAGGTCTCAAGTAAAGGCTTTTCATACCCAGAAAGAGAGGTCCACCAAGTACTAATCTAGGGCAAGGTGATAGAAGTACATCTCCACCTAAGGCGGGAAGAGGGGGCAGGAGGAGCGAAAGTTCCAGGGGCGCCAAGAACATCCCTGTCTAGGGGAGCCCAAAGTGGGCAAGAACAATCAAGAACCACCCCATCGGGAGGGCAAGCATCAGCTCCTCATGTAACTTGTGGAATTTGTGGGAAGCCTAACCACACTGAGGAGGAGTGTTGGAAGAAGGGGCAGAATATATTACGGTGTGGAAGTATCGAGTATAGGACTGGCAGTTGTCCGAATGTGCATCGAGAAGGGAGTAACACCTAGTGGACGGATAGGGCGAACCTTAGGCAATCAACTGTAGGAGGGAGCAGGCCGAAGGTGCCAGCCAGGGTATATGCGATTGACCAATATCAAGTTTCGGATTCATCTGAAGTTGTCGAAGGTACGATCCCTATTTTCCATCGCCTGGCTAAGATCCTGATAGATCCCGATTCAACTCATTCCTTTGTGACCCCGACTTTCATATATGAAATTGATGTTAAACTTGAGCAATTATCTTATGACCTAGAAGTTGGAACCCTTATCGGTGATCAACGTATAACTACCAACACCATTTATAAGAATTGCGAGATTTGTATTGGAGAGCGAAATTGTGAGTAGATTTGATAAGTTTAGGCATCAAAGGGTATGACATTATGTTAGGAATGGATTGGTTAGTTCGATATCATGCTCGACTAGACTGTAGGACGAAAGTAATGAAATTTTTTATACTTGGAGAGGCCACCCTAAGGCTAGACGTAAGGGGTATTTTAGTCTCGTTTACTCTTATCTCAGGAATTCGGGTTAGAAAATTGTTAAGTAACGGAGCCCAAAGATACCTAACTTTTCTCATTAATACCCCAGGGGATAAGTTGGAGGTCAAAGATGTGCCGGTAGTAAGAGAATACTCAGATGTTTTCCCTAATGAGTTAGTATCACTGCCACTAGAGAGAGAGAGGTGAAATTTAAGATTGATTTAATGCCCGGAACAACACCCATTAC